CCTGGCTGGGCAGCTCAGTTGGTTAGAGTGTCATCCCAACTATGCCAAGGTTGTAGGTTCAATCCTTGGTCAGGGCACATACAAGAATCAACCAATGAATGAATGCATAAATATGTGGAACAACAAATTAATGTTTCTCTCTCAAATCAATAAATAAAAACAAAGAGAGAAAAGGAGGGAGAAAGGGATTCCTGGAAGGATGTAAGAGCTAGGAGATTAAGAAAATTCATCCATACCTGGGAAATATCTGCTGTTTTATAAAACATTTTATTGTCAAGAGTCTTCAGACTTTCAATAACGCAAGGCAAGTCAACCACCTTAGCAGTTAGTGAGACATCTTTCACCTCAACAGCTGCATGACGTCCATCAGCTAAAGAGAAGCAGGAAAGATTAAAGTTGACATCTTCCCAATGTACTCTTAAACTTCCTAGGGTTTGAATAACTGAGATGTGTGTGGGATAAACTAGTCTTTCAGGGAAGTCTACTATTTCTCATTATGCTAGAACTAGGGACCCAGCGCACAAATTCCTGCACCTTAAAAGGAACTGTGGGCAGCAAGGCTGCAGTGGGCACAGGGGCAGGTCTCGGCCCATCTTCCTCACCCCACCCGGCCCCTCCCATCATGGCCCCTGGTATCCTGTTAGCCGGCAGCCCCTCTCCCTCCACCGCCACTCCCACACTCTGAAGACACCAGCCCCACTTGCACCCACTGATGGCACAGAGCGAACAGGACCAGCGCCATCAGCGGGTGCGAGCGGCAGCTGCTGCCCCAATAGCCCCTCAGGAGCAGGGGGATGTGGAGTAGCCCTCAGTGGTGATCGGGGCCGGCAGCCACTGCTCACACCCTCTAACGGTGCCGAGCAATCGGGGCCGGTGCCAGGTGCTGGCAGCAGGTGCAAGCAACGGCACTGGCATCAGCAGCAGGTGGTAATGGGGCCGGCGCCAGCAGCAGGTGCGAGCACTGGGCAGGACCATTGTGGGGAGCCGCTATAGGGTTAAGCCTCAGACTGACCTGTTGGCAAAGTCACAAACAAGTCCCAGCTTAGAGGGCATAGTCCTCTTAGCATAATTAGGCTTGACCTTATAAGGCTCCCTAGATCTTATCTGGGAAGCTAATGGGCTGAGGGAGGTGCAGGAAGTGGCCAAAACAAGCGAAACTCACAAGAACAGTGTAACTATGGTCAACACAAGTGAAACTCACAAGAACAGTGTAACTATGGTAACCACTACCTTGTTTACCTCTGACTATAAAATAAAGGCTCAGTTTGCCTCTGGATCTTTCTCTGTGGCCTCAGCCAGGCACAGGAAGATCCATGGAGACTAAAGAGAGCTATGCTGATCATCTGAACGTTGTCTCCATGTAAATCATTCTTTGCCGACTCCATCCACACCTTTAGGAACCCCTGGCCCGCTGGGGCTGGACCCTGGCAGACCGTGGCATGCGGGAGAAAGAATTTTCAGTAACCACAAGAGGTTCACCCCAATGACATCGACTGGTGCCCCACCTTGATCTGGCACCTTTGCTCACCTGCTCCACCATCCTACCATGGCCAACATTTGCCATGTTCTATGCTTTGCCGCCTGCTGCCAACGCCTGTCTGCCATGTTCCATGCGTGCCCCCTGGTGGTCAGTGCACGTCATAACGACCTGTTGTTTGGTTGTTCGGTTGTTCCACCGTTCAGTCTATTTGCATATTAGCCTTTTATTATATAGGATTGTACATGCACTCAGTAACTCCCCAAAGGAAAGAAAGCAGAGTAAATGGAATACATTTTCCCCCAGTTTGTGTCACTTGATCAAAAGTATAGAATTTTCTTAGAAATAGTTGTGAACAAATGTGAACAAAGTAGTAAATGTTTCATTCTCATCCTAAAAGGCAAATTCTGTTCATTCAAAGCCATTCATTTTGATACCATAAGAAGTATTCAATCATGTCATTATGCATGGGTGTTTTCAAAGGGTTGGGTGAGGGAAGGGTTGATCCTAGAATCTTGCTAGTAAGTCTCAATGTATAACCTCTAGTTAGCTTCACAAATATAAAATTTTATACAATCGCCAAACACTGAAAAAAATATGTAGCCCTGGCCAGGTGGCCCAGTTGATTGGAACATTGTCCCATACACCAAAATGTTGCTGATTCGATTCCATGTCTGGGCAAGTATGGAAGGTAACTGATCAATGTTTCTCTCTTACATCAATATTTCTCTCTCCCCCACCTTCCTCTCTCTACAATCAATAAAAATATCCTCAGGTGAGGATTAAAAACTTTTTGAAATAAAAGTATATTATTAATATACTACAGGCCCAGTGTATGACATTGGTGCACTATGGGAGGGGGGAGGCCTCAGCCCAGCTTGTGCCCTCTCGCAGTCCAGGACCCCTCAGGGGAATGTTTGCCTGCTGGCTTAGGCCCTCTCCCTCCTAAGCTGGCAGGCGGACATCCCCCCGAAGGTTCCTTAGTGCTGCCGCGGAGGCAGGAGAGGCTCCTGCCACCACAACTGTGCTCCCCAGCCATGAGCCTAGCTTCTGGCCGAGTGGCACTCCCCCTGTAAGAGCACACTGACCACCAGGGGACAGCTCCTGCAATTAAGCATCTGCTCCCTGGTGGTCAATGCGTGTCATAGTGACCAGTAGTTCCACTATTTGGTCTATTTGCATATTAGCCTTTTATTACATAGGATTATATAGGATATACATTATACACTGACAACTCTGAATCCTGCCCAGATGTCTCAAATATGGATATCTTTTGAGGATTCAAGTGTAATCTTCTAATGGTAAGTGAAAAAAAAGATGCAGAACTATATTTCACATGATCCTTTTTGTGTAAATTAACTTTAAAAACAGACTATTTAAATGATTATATTATGCATAAAAGTTTTGTCTGTAAGGAAATACAAGGAGAAATGGTTAGTATTAGTTATTTTTGGCACTGACTTTGGAGCACTATGAAAGAGAGTTTCGCTCCTCCTTTTGAACTTTTTTGTTTTATTTGAATTTCCTAGCCATAAACTTGTATTGCCCTTTCTAAAAATGTCAATAGAGCTACTAGAGTGGTGGGTTTATGGGCCATTTTATATTTCCTTCTTTATATACTTATCTGTATTTATTTTCTTTTTAACATAAAAGTTTTATTAAATAAATACATGTATTGTCATGTAAAATTCGCTGAACAAAGGACATTCTATAATTTAAAAAAACAAACCCTCTGCAGCTTTTGATTTGCAATGGGTGATCCAGCTAGAATTAAAGTCAAAGTGGCAATCGCAGTTTAAATGCACAGACACACATACACACAGATTTTCAGGGCATAGGTTCTGCTTCTCTATATTTATAAAACCTAATAAATGTTGTTTAAAAGAGAGAAAGGTGTGTCACCTTTGTAAACAAAGAACAGTACATTCATTTGTCATAGTCAGAAATCCCAAAGCTTGTATGTAGGAGACAATCAGCAGTAGGAAAATCCCACAGTTGACCCTTAAGTTCTTTCTTATACACATTTTGATAATTACCTCAAGTTGCATAATATCTACTTCTTTTCCTCTTAAAAGAAGAGATAGGAGTGATTTAAGCGTCTCTTAGGGTCCATCAAGACAGAGAACGCATTCTATTCTTTTCAAATCCTTAGTATGGAATAGAGCACCTGGCACAGAGCAATCCCTTAATAAGTTACTGTTCAATGTATGGTGAATGGATATTAACTACTTACAAGACAAGTCAATTTTTAGTTTATCTTTCATGGCGACACTTCCGGATCGTATAATTTCTCTGACAGTAGCAGCATGTTCCTAAAAAGGAGATAAATTGACAAATTAGAAAGATTGTCTACTTGGCAGTTAACAGAACAGATATGTCAGAGACAGTCCTTCTTTAAAAAAACGTTAAGCCTCCCAAACATTAGGAACAATGCCATGTACCATGAGATACCATGCATTGTGCAGGTCAATTTAGGATGAGGTGAACTCTAATATCATTGTTGACTTTTAGTAGCTACAGTCAATGCCTTCTCCTAGTTCTATATTCCTGCCTCTCACTGCTGCCCTTCAGTTATTGTTGCTAAAGAAAGGTTTAGCTGCAGTTTACTGAGTACATTAATTAACCCTAATGGGGGAAATAACTTTCTGAAGCCCATCTTAATATAGTTTTGTAGACTAAATAATACTTGAATATAGGTCTCAATGGGTGGGTGGGGGGAAACCTAACACATTGTTGACAGGAGCTTCAACAGCCTTGCATGGTGATCAATTTGAAGAACATGGTCCTTCTCACTAACCCTTTTGAGGTGACAGAAAGGATTTCAGTAGAGTTTTATCTTGGCTATCCAATGAGCAAGCTGTTGATACTGAATCCATCATTGTCACAATTGTTTGCCAGGAAATCAACCCACATGATAGGTGGTATGTGCAGGACAAAAAAAATGCTGCTAAAAGAGTACACACTGGGATAGGACTGCTTAATAGAACATGATTCCTGGGAAACAAATGTTCTCAGTTTTTATAGCCTACCTTAAATAGAAATGGTACAGAATCCAAGCAGAGCTAATACTTATGCACTGAAGATATTTGCTCTGAAATACAAGGGTTTCTTACCGGAGGCAGACGCCATATAAACTGGTTCTCAATTTCATAAGGAGGTTCATGCTGGTGTTTACTCATCTCTGGTTTTTGAGTTCATGAAAACAAAAACAAAACCAACAGAAAGTCACCAAAAACTCCTCTTGTTCCCTCTGCTGATCACTTCTGATAGTACTGGTTAAATTATACAAGGCCTGGCCCATAATCCTCACTGGAATGATGTGTGTGTACAGTTCTGAAATACCTTATTTGAAATAACTTTATTATTTTTTAAAAGTTCTTTATCTTCCCTACAATACTTGAAGATTTTCAAAAATCAATCCAAATAGCATAACAAATAAAATAAGAGCTGTTATAAAACATGATTTGGTATTTTTAATGATATTTTTAGACTCTCAGATAAAGGACCACAATTTCACCAATTGTAAGTGAAGCGGGTAAGTGAAAGGTATGTGAAACAAACTACATTCCTCTGCAGGGAGGGTGCCAACCAAAGTCGGAAATCAACCCCCAAACCACTGGCAGAAAGTTTCTATGATTATTAGAAAGAAACAAAAGCTAAATTTTCAATATTTTATTCACTATAATTGATTGGTAGGAATTAAGCCCATAGGAGAGCCAGTAGCTTTTATGACTCTAGACTAGAGCCAGCATAAATAGCTCAGATCTACCTTTCAAAAAGTCCAGTTCTTATGGCTATCTATATGAGTACAACTAACTTCATTGAATAGACATTCCTGAAAGGTAATATGAAAGACTAAAATCCAATTTGATTTATTCATTGCTAGCCTTTACTGCGTGCATTCTGTGTGTAGGCACTACATTGAGTGTGTTAGGTCTATTATTTCGTATACTCCTCACAACCACCAGTTATTTGAAACACCCCTAAAAGTTATTTAAAGGAATCCTAAGACAGATCCATTTATAGTTAAAAGTACACCTTCTGTAAAGTGAATAATCCTAAATTAATCTTTATTTTTTCATTTTATTTTCCATCTATTTTTGATAGATCTTAAGTAGTTTGCATTTAGGGTTTTAGGGCTCTCACTTTTTCTGAGGAAACTTTTCTCAAAAGTGGAAAGAAAACAATGTACATATATGAAACCTGACAAAGTTTTATTAGGTTCTAAGAACATTATACAATATACCAAGTTATAAAATCTTATACCATTGATTAATGTACAGCTTCTAATACTCTGTAAACCATTATCTGGGCTCTGAGTTTTGAACTTGAATATCATTTAAAAGCACTGGAACCTTTTTTTAAAAAATCACATACAAGTTAGTCTGAGACCTTATTATGGTGAAATCATTCACCAGTTATAATTCCAATCCTTTAATATTACTTTAGAAACTATCAGAAATGCATAGAAAGCACAAGAGAAGCCAGCAGTGGAAAAGCAGGCAGCCAGGATGAGAGAGAGAAAAGGACGGGGAAAGAGAGACATTGCTTATTTGTGATAATCATTTTTTTCTTCCTGCTTCATACAGTTATACACAGGGGGTGTTAATTAAAATATAGCAAATTAAATTAAAAATATTGGGGCTGAGAACATTGCATAACAGAATAAAAAGTAACCAACACTTAAGATTGGGAGCAGAAATACAGATATTTGAAGAACTGGCTGCTAAGCAAGATTTTATCAGATCAGTAGTAACTTTTAGAGTTCTCAGCAGAACTAAGAGTAGGACATTTTGTTCATTTCAATGCCTTTATTTTGTGAAAGAAACAATGTAAAAAGGGAAACTTTCAGTGAAGGTGGGAAAACAGGGTTGAAATGAGTTTTTAATATGTTTTAAAATTTGTTACCTGCATTTAACCAAATGAACTGGTTGTTTCGTATTTAAGAAAAGCCACCCACTTTTTCTGGCAAGCATTCTTTGATACATAATTAAATTAATGGGACCTCTCTCCACCATTCATTACCCCCAAGCTCCATCTAGCTTCAGTGAAATTAGATTTGGAATTAGGATTATAGCTAGGTGGAAGGCACCAGACAACATGCTCCAGGCAGCCTAAGTCAGCATCAGCCAAAATTCGCATTTTCTCAAGTTCATAGCCGCGGGCTGCAGTTTGGAGGCAATGACCCTCCATCCTTATTCCAGGGGCACTAAGCTTCCAAGGGAAGAGCCCAGCTCATAGACTTGAAGGTTCCAGCCTTCGAGCCTCGCCGTCTAGGCTAGCAGGGAGGGAAGCACCGTGCGCTGACACACAGCACTAACCAGCCCCAGAACCCTCCGCCTGACCAACTCACCTGCTCCTCCTCTGACTCGCAATGGCACCCGAAAGGCCGAGCGGGGAAGACACCCTTCTCTGCCCTGACGGTTCTGAAGGGGGCGTGAGTGGGCTACAGGGAAGCAAGCCATGGAATCCGACGGCAGGCGACGGGTGGATTGTGTAGCCACAGGTAGCAGCAGAGTGCACAGCCCCTCCCCACTAGCCACGCCTCCGCTGCCGCCTGCTGGAGCTGACAGACAAGTGGCCTCGAGGCGGCAGCCAGATCGTCGCGTGCCGGGTGGGGGTGAGGGTGGGGTTGGGGGAAAAGTCTCAAGAGGCTCAGGCCGCTCTGGGGTCTCGAGGAACAAGGCTTCAGAACAAATTCTCTTGGCACGGGGCAACCTTCAGAGTGGCCACAGGACTTTTACCAGTGCACAGCGATATTTGTAAAAAGCGTGGCACATTCGGTTGCTGCTCGCCGGATGACAAATATGCCACTACGCAAACCCATGAAATAATTAGAATCCCGCCCAAACTATGTAACATATTAGCCGCCCCGTCTCCTCCACAGAGTCATTATTTTATATCTTTGGACAGGAACACAAGTTACACCAATTTCTCCTCAAGGGGGTCGCACAGTTCAAATAAACTCCCAAAAATATCCTTAATATTTTTATTTTTGGCGGGGCTGGAACGTAAACCACTTACCTTGCTTTCCCGTTAAGTTTTCCAGAGGAGGTCTGGCAGCGGCCTGGGCATCACCTTGGGCGCCGACGTAGGCATCAGTTTGGGCGCCATGGTCGACAAGAGTTGAGGTGCTTTGCTCACCCGCAATTTGGGTTCTGTAGTCACTGGCAGTTTTAGTTCCAGAGTCGACAACAATTTTGGGCTCTTGGAAACTTATAGTTTCTGATATTAACGTTTTTAGTTTTGAATTACATTCCGACAGTTGGGAGAACTGTCCCTCAGGGTACTCCATGGTCTGTCTACTTGAGGTACTAAAATGGCTCCCTGCTCAGTCATGTGACTTGAACCGTTCTAGTACTTTCCTAACATGATGTCAAAGGCATCCTCCTTAAAGGCATAGGGATAATATTAGAGCTATCGTGGGTTCCTGTTAGAGATTATAGTCACGAAGTCTCTACTGCCTAACACTTATCCAAACTAAATTATAATATTTTTGGAACACTAATTATTGTGCAATCATTTCTTTTGAATAAGTGATTTTTTTCATTTAGTGAAACTAAATTACCAGAGCTTCAAACCTGGATAAAATTGCTTTTGGTCCTTATTAGAATTCATCCACCTGGCCTTGAGGCTACTACATCAATGGTTATAATACAAAATATACCATGAAATTTGGCTTTCATTTACTGTATAATATTCGTGAAGGCATATATTACATCAAAATACAATTTTTATGTAATAACTCAAAGGAAAATAATTATATTTTTGGTCACTGAGATAGTTGAGTGATTGTGTGTTTTGAATCATATGGGCAATGTGAATTGAGTAATTAACTTTCCTTGTGATGGCTGCTATGATGCTCAGAACCCATTTTGCAACACACCTCTAAAAACTGTGAACCTTATTGGCATATGTTGATATTTCTTTTTATCTTAAACAGTCTCTCCAAATTCCCTAATTTTTATTTTGTGTGATAAGTAACACTGAAAGCTGCTTCAAAACCTTTTAAAAAGTGGAATCAATATAAATATTAGATAATTTAAAAATAGAACTCTAATATGTAAATCTTTAGACAATGAAAAAAAATAGAGCTCTTGCAAAATTGTCACAGGGGGCATCCCTGTGGGTGGAGGTGGGGAGCATAGCTCACTTATAATTCAATCACCTGACAAATGTTAATTAAGAATCTAATGTGCCAAGCATGATATTTTTTAAAAAGTTAGTTAACTAACCCGTGTCACAATCTAGTAAATGCTTAAAATATGGTAAGAGATAATTAAAATATAGTAAGAGTTCATTAAAATATGGTAAGAGTTAAATAATTAAAAATATGGTAAGAGTTCCATCCATGCTGTGGCAAATTGTAAGAATTCCTTCTTTTTTACAGCAGCGTAGTATTCCATTGTGTAGATGTACCACAGTTTTCTAATCCATTAATCTGTTGATGGGCACTTAGGCTGTTTCCAAATTATGCTAAGTGAAATAAGCCAGTCAGAGAAGGATAAATACCACACGATCTCGCTCATTTGTGGAATATAATGAACAACATAGACTGATGAACAAGGACAGATCCAGAGACGGAGAGGCATTTATCAGACCGTCGGGCCTCGGAGGAAAGGTAAGGGAGGGTGGGGGTAAGGGGGAAGAGATCAACCAAAGGACTTATATGCAAGCATATAGGCCTAACCAATGGACACAGACACCAGGGGGGTGAGGGCATGAGTAGGGGGGTGGTAACGTGGGGATAAGGACACATATGTAATAACTTAATCAATAAAAAATTAAAAAAATATATGGTAAGAGTTAATTAACTGACCCATGTCACACATCTATTAAATGCTTAAAATATGGTAACAGTTTCATGGAAGAAGGTAAAACTTAAAATACAGGCATACACATTATGTAATTTTCCCCTACTGCCAGATTTCCCACCCCTTTTTAAGGAAGAAGGGAATAAAAAGTGCAAAAGAGAAAAGTGGTGAATTATGATTTCTCTTGGTAGGGGAGAACTGATCCCAGAAGTAACACCGACATATAAATAACCTGTCATATACATACTATCGTGTTGTCAAATATATACAGAATATGTTTCTAGGTTCTGTTCTGTCCTGTTGCTGTCTTTCTGATAAGTTCTTCTGGACCCATCTCCTCCAAAACCCTCCTCCCCTCCCCCAAC